GGTCATTACCAATAAGTTGTAGTAGAAAAAGATTTTCGCCAAAAGGATAAGTACGGAAACAAATTCCTTTATCGAAGAACGTTGCCTAACTCAAAAATTGGAATTTTTGAGTTAACATAAAAACAGTTCAAACATATATTTTTATGTGGCTAAAACGTCACTAAAACGCTGTCGTGTTAATAGACAAATAGTACTGATGACGATTTTCCACATGGAATTATAAATAATGTTTGGAATGTTTTTATGTTAACTAAAAAATTCAAATTTTTGACCTAGGAGGTTCTTCCTAAATTGAACGACATATCAAAAACGTCCTAAGAACGTTATTTTCATAACGTTAATGTTCCGTTTAATGGTGTCGTTTTTATCAGCTAATTTAAAAACGTCGCAATAATGTTATTATTGAACGTTAATGTTACGTTTAGTGGCGACGTTTCTGTTACGAAAATGTTACGTTTTTGAGATGTTTTTTTGAACAGAACAGCAACGTCAGTTTTTTTAACGTACCTACTATAAAGTCCCGTTGCAGGACTTATAACGACTATGTGATGCAACTAGAACGCAAATGTTTCAGCTTGTATAACGTAACAATGAAACAGACAAACATGATTTTAACGAAATTGGGATGTTTTTTTGCTTAGTGGGAAACCATAAATCACAGAGGGTTCACCGACCGAACCAGGGTTGGATGAACCGACCGGGATACCGGGAAATTCCCGGTGGTCCGATCGGAGTGTGGGCTGATTTTTAGAACAACAGGATCTTTACCAAAATACCTTCAAACCAAAATCTAAGATCAAACCATTGGATCAAACGGCTGCAGCACAAAGAATATAATGGTCAATTCAACTTGTGATGCACTAAGTATGTGAAGTATGAAATGCTAAAAATATTTCACAATTGGGCAAATACAGGACTAGGAGCAAATGAAAGTGATGTAATAATTCAAGTCTCATTATCCACAATTTGTTCTCGTAAAAAAAAGAAGATGCCAAGGGTGTAAGCGGATGATACTCCTTCAGCTACTAATTACTATTTTTAAATTTGAAGTGGAAGTACACAATGTAACCATGAATAACAAAAATAGAGGCATCTTGTTCTAGGCATATAGAGATATTTGTGCTGATTTTTCATATTTGGATTCAAATAATTTTTCGGAACTTTTTTTTACTAGGAAATGATTACGGGGCTATTTTTCGCGAAGAATTGAAGGATTTTGGAAGAGAGTGGCCTGACTCGAAAAGGACGGAGTTGTAGGATCTGTATTGTATGTATGTAGGTATGTTGTATGAATCCAACGATGGACACGAAGATGCTGCGATTGCTGTGAATGACACAGGGATGGATACAGGGAATGAATTAGAACTTTCTGAAAAAAGTGTTCATCGCATTCACGTGGCAAACAATGTTTGGTTTGATGTTTTAATGTTTTGTATAAATACACATTAGATTATACATCCGTGATTGCAGTCATCTTTCAGGCCTATGAATTTGAATAAAGTCTCAAGAAGATTCTCATAGAAATGTTTAACCTAGGGCCCCAGAAGAGCCTTGAATGGATTTTCACACTTTGAAGGCTCATATCTCAAGAACTGTTCGAAATATTGAAATCAAACCTGTTTTGTATTGTGAAGCATTTAATTCTGATTCAGAATAATTATCAACATCAAATTCAAATTTATAGAATATAATAACTTCTCCCAATCAAGTTTCAACTTTAGGAGAGCCTGGAATGGGATTCTTACACTTTGGCAGGTCATATCTCAAGAACTTTTCGGAATATTGAAATTAAACCTGTTTCATCTTGTGAAGTATTCAATTCTAATTCAGAAACTTCAAATTCAAATTTATAAAGTAATAACTTTTCCCAATCAAATTTCAACTTTAGGAGAGTCTGGAATGGGATTTTCACACTTTGGAGGCTCATATCTCAAGAACTGTTCGAAATATTGAAATCAAACCTGTTTTGTTTTGTGAAGCATCAAATTTTGATTCAGTATCATCAATTTTAAATTTGTAGAGTAATCACTTCTGTCAATCAAATTTCAATCCTAGTAGTGCCTGGAATGGGATTTTCACACTTTGGAGGGTTCCCCAAAGAAAATATTATTTTGATTGTTTGAAATAAATAAACCTCGAAATAAACCAAAGATTTTAAATATAAGAGTTATTTTTAAATTTCTTATTCTACGTTTTCATTCAGCATTTATTGTTTCATCACGGTTGTTATTAGATGACATCTAAATGTGGGGATGTGCGCCACAAATACATCAATGCAAGGGCCACTAGACTGAAATTTCCCGGACCACTTCCAAAAGTTCGTCCACCCCTGGACCGAACCATATTTTACGAGGTAGGTATGGTGAAATTCTATACTTTAATGGGACATTGAATAAGATTTGACCGAAATTATCTTATTCAATATAATTTCGGTTTTAAAGGGCGATGAAATGTTCGGCTCCGGCGATTGCTGATCTATTCATTTGTCCCTGCTGACAGTTTCTTTTGTGCTCTTTGACCCTGGTGTTGATAGAGCGTTTGGTTGTTCCTACATAGATAGATCCACAAGAACAGGGAATTCTATAGACGCCAGCCATTTCAAGAGGTGCCCTAGGATCCTTGGCCGATCTTAGACTTTGCTGAATTGTTCTTGTGGGCTTGTAGATGGGCTTAATGTTGTGTTTTTCTAGAGTTCATCCTATGCTATCTGTGATATTTTTGATGTAGCAAACAGCGAACAAAGGCTCTCCCTGCCACCTGTGCTGGTTCCTTATCATTTGTGCACTGTTGCTTTGAACTTATAGCTCTATTTATCTCCTGCTTGGAGTAGCCATTTCCTTCAGGTGCTGATTTTAGGTGTTGCATCTCGTCCTGAAGGTATCTGGGTTCACAAATCCGGATTGCCCTGTCAGATAGAGTTTTAATGAATCCCCTCTTTTGCCTAGGATGGTGATTGGATTCCTTATTGCGGTATCTGCGTATGCGTCGGTTTCCTATACTCGGTGTCCCAGTTTCCCTGAGGGTAATCTTTCTAAGAGGATGCCGAGGAATGCAATTTTGTTGTCCTTCTCAACTTCCATCGTAAACTGTATCCTGGGTTCTATTGAGTTTAGATGATCAAGGAAGTTTTCGAGCTCTGCCTGTCCATGGTTCCAAACAACGAAAGTGTCATCTACATATCGAAACCAACAAGTAGGTTCCTTTGTGACCGTTCGCAGTGCCATTTGTTCAAAGTTTTCCATGTAGAAGTTGGCGATAACCGGGCTGAGTGGACTCCCCATTGCGACTCCATCTATCTGCTCAAAGAATTCATTTTGCCATTGGAAGTACGTAGTCGTCAGACGGTGGTGAAATAAGTTGTTGATTTCCTCCGGAAAAACATCTTCCAGATACTCTAAAGCCTGATTCACTGGTATACCTTGGTAAACAACGAGACGACATCCAAACTAACCAGAATGTCATTTAGTAGTAGAATGATACCACAGATCTTTTTGATAAAATGAGTGGAGTCTTTAACATGAGAACTGGATTGGCCAATCCGTGGCTGAAGGAGAGTGGTGAGGTATTTGGCTATGCTGTATGTGGGCGAATCTATTGCACTTACAATGGGTCTGAGTGGGTTACCTGTTTTGTGAATCTTCGGCAGCCTATATATTCTAGGTGGTAAGGTCTCAGATTTGATAAGTTTACTTACGTTTTCCGGGTTCAATGGTATAATGCTCGGATGAGTTGAATGGTGTTTCGCAATATAGAAGCAGTGCGGGATTGCGCTTCAGCTTTCTGTAGGTGGAGGGGTCTAGGAGTTCGGAAATTTTTGATTCATAGTCAGTCACGTTCATAATTACCGTTGCGTTTCTTTTATCTGCAGGCTGCCAGGCAGGACTAGTATGTTCTTGTCTGTATTCAGGCTGCGAATAGCTCTCCTTTCCTCGTATGTCTGGTTGCACTTTGGAGGTTTTGCTTGTCGTAGAATCCTAGATGTTTAATTACGTATTTCCTCCGCAGTGGCTTGAGGAAATGTGCGTACCTATGCTGGCTTCCACATTTGCTATGATGTCTTCGAATGGCAGGTCTTCCGGTGTTATTGCAAAATTGCCCCCTTTCTTGGTTTCCGAATCAGTCAGAACGCGTTGGGTCAGGTTGACAACTGTGCGATCATTGCCTGTGGGTTTCGCAGTGTTCAATGGTTTCAAGGACTCAAACTTTCTTGGTTGGTTTTGCTAGTGTAGCTTCCATCACGTCATACGACGAATCCTCAGGAATTTTGGAACGACTTTCGAGTCTCTGCATCTTTGGAGAAAAGCAAGGGAGCCTAGAGAATGGGCACTTTTCACACTAGGTAGGAAATATACTACTGCGTAATTTTCCAAATAGTCCTTGAACGCTTTGTTTGTTACGTGTGACGTCGGCGAGTGCCTTTAGTGCCTAGTCAGGCACAATTTTTCTAAAAAGTTTTGGGATGGAGCTAAGGTCACATATTGGTCTAGTCTATGGTTGCGAATATCTGCTCTATTTCTTGATTCACAAATGGGTTCAAGGTAGCTTACTTTTCAGAAATCTTGAAATATGCATGAGACAAAACTGCAAGATTTCAAAACTATAGGTACCTAGAATTCCGTCATTATTTGAATTTGCTATAGAATGTGCTTTATTTTTAAGCAAAATATTTCGTTAAATATGAAAAAAATTTACTTACAAAGTATACGTCAAAAAATCGTGAATAAAGTCGACAATAAGCTTTGTTGTTTAAAACGGCTTTATAGTAACAATAGGCTTTTGATTTTGTATTTCTATTGGGTTTCTGATGAATAAATGATGATATGTCTGTTCTCACAGAAATCACAAACCACTCAGAGCGTTTTTGATTGGTGCAAATCGCCAACAACCAGTTTTCTGACTATTTTCAACCAATGAAATACATTCTGACTGGTTTGTGATTTCTGTGAGAACAGACCTTTGGCGAACTTATCAGGTATGGATTTTAATGATAACAACATAATTTCATTACAAAAACAAAATATATATTTGTCGACTTAAAAACAGGAACACCTAAAAGTTAATTTATCTTGTTTAAATCTTTCAATTAGATGAATAATGTATATACGTTATCTTCAATAACTAAAAAAAAATCTAACAATAGGGATTAGTAACAATAACTTTAAAAAAAAAACAACAATCTAATAATACGGATTAGTAAAAATTTACAATAGAAAAATATCTCTAAATAAATGAATACATGTAATAATTCCAACCAAGCTAATCTTCATAGACTATCACTTCTCAAAAATCCATATAGTACGCGTTTCGCACAAGTGTGGAAAAATTGTTCCGCACGCTCGTAGGAAAAATTGTGTTCCTAACACTTGCAGAAAAAGGGAATTTTCTTTCTATTTCAAGTTCATAATAGTTATAGCGACCATATGAAGATTATAATTTCCGGGAAATAGAGTTTCCAGATTCTATCATAAGTAGCTTTGGATGTCAATCTTTGGGAAATATATTACTTCTAACAAGGATTTATTTTGAAATTTACTGACCGATCCTACTTTATTAGAATACAGGTAGAATAAAATAGTTTTCTAAACGTTCTTTTTCCTCTAATAAACAAATAATGGCACACTTTGCATTGTTTGTGAGGTGAAAATTTTTAAGGCGCATTCAGCCAAAGCCAAATAAAAATGGTGTAAGCTCAAGACCACACGACAGAAGTGAAAACTTCAATTAGGACGAGATAGGTATTCTATAGGGCGTCTCTCTAACTTCATATTTGTTTTGTTGACAGAAAACTTGTTCATTTGAATAAAAACAAATGAATTGAACAGAAAATGCATAACGTCCATGAAAAAGAGATGACGCCAGATTTGTCATTTTTATATTACTTTTTATGGAAATACTTTAAAAGCTCTTATTTGAAGTACAAGCAAATACTTTTTTTAATCATAGTGGCCCACATTATGTCATCATATCTGGCAAATAGAAAAAGCAAGTCTCTGACTCTAGATGAATGAACTGTTTGCCAAATGATAACTGATATGTACCAGCAATAATTACATCTCAGGCCAAATAGGTCTGCCAAAGGTTGACAATAATTGTACTTAGGAATTAAAAATATGGCTTTCAAAGTAGCACTGCTAATTCCTAGGAGTTTAAAATCGTTTTAAATCCTAAAATACATAAAATAGTATATAAACCTCGGGATTAAAGTATCTTTTTATCCCTTGACGAATTGTATCCCTCCAGTCAGGCTACAGACTTTTCGCCTCGGCGCCTAGGGATAAAAAGAGTGACTTTAGTCCCTAGGTATATAATATACTATTATTGCTCACAAAATCTATATTATCGATAAACAATCATAAAAACTTTTTTTCTTCAAGAAAACATCACCTATGTAGGTGGAAATTAAACCAGCAAATCCTAAACTATCTAAATTCATAAAAATCAACACCGGAAACTTCAGTGTCGTAATTGAAAAGTTCCCGATGCACCTCAGGTACTTGATAAAATTTTGTAAGCCTGCTATTTTTAGCAAAAAAAAACTTATGACTCGAGCGTGTTTTATGTGGACTTCTCGTTGGACTCAAGTCTTCTGTATTTTTTTCTATATAATTGTTCATCGCCATTTGCATACGATTTATGTAACTTCTCGATTTTTCGTACAAAACTATGCATAAAAATAAAAGCTGACGATTGATCAATAGAAAATCTTCCATGGGCCTCAGTTGTTCAGCATCACTATTGTCACAACAAATATATATACGGCGTAATTTGAAGCTTTGGTTCTCGAGTAAACTGTAGAAAAGAGCTGGCAGGTTGATGTGTTTGTTTTCAAAGCTAAAAATTAAGAGAACAATGATCAATATCCGACAAAAAAAAAAAAGAATTTAAATCAAATTGAAAACTCACCTAAAATCTTCCAAATTACTGGCATATCTTAAACCTTGATAAAGATATCTGTTCAATTGTTCATTAGTGTTATGGCTGATTATTCTTAAAAATTTCAGTCTTTTACAGGTCTGAAGGAGCTAAAAATAGAAAATAGAATTATCAATAATTGATAAAAACTTAAAGATTCACAAGCTCCAATAACTTGATGTCTTTAGCATAATATCGGCTCCATACTGAGCATGCATACTCTAATTTTAACTACTGACAAATTAGCAAATGTGATAGGCTTGACATGGGCATAGATTCCGCAATATAACAAATGTAAATTGTCATTCACTTACATCAACTAAAAACTTTCCATGCAAGTGTGATGGTACTTCAATTGTGAATCGTTCCAGATTTTTCCAGCCGCATAGAAGAGGGTATCCGTCCAGAATTGTTATGTTACAACTAAAAATAATAAAAAACAATAATTTTACATCATAATAGAAGTTTCAAAAACAGTTATAGAAACCTGACATACTAAATCTGTGCGACGCACAGTGTTGCACTCAATGGACAAAGACAAAATTCGAAAATGTTTGTATTTATTTTTGGATAATTAAATATGGGGATCTTCAAAGGAATGCCTGTTGATAATAAGTATATTTTTGTTAGCTTTTTTTGTTCACGAGTTTCCAAAAAACAGAGATGAACATAACGAAAAAGAATTTTGTGCTTCTGTTGGAAGGTTAGTATAAAATAAAATTTTTAAAGGGCATTATATTGTTTTGCGGTGATTATTTTTTAAATATATTAGGACGGTTATGGACAACAATGTAGAGGGTAAGCACTCAAGTATCTAGTATCTTTTGCGAATTTTTTCGATTTTTTTTTTATTTTTAGAAGAAACCGTTGCTATTTTTAATAGCATTTTATGCCAACAATAGGTAACTTGCGACAAGAATCAAAAGCCTTTAATGGTAATGGACACAATTCAAGTTTACTTAAAATTAGAAAATGGTTCTGGTAACATAATAAAAAAAAAATTGCTGGAGTGCAGCAACGAGTGGGACCCTGGAAATAACGTCTTGACGCACAAACATCCAATGTCTAGTTATTCGTTCTAAATTTTCGTATGTTTGAAAATTTTAACATTTTCAATGCCAAATGTACCATCTTTATGATTTATTTATTTACAAGGATATTGCTTTTTTTGACAAATAAATTCACCCTAGGTTTTTTAATTATATATTATAATTTTTTTTTTTGTGTTTCACACTGTATAATAGGAACTATTTTCTTTCGTTCAAATATTTTACATTTAGGTTGTCGACTAAAATGTATATTGCCACAACCCCTATACGTTTCGTCCTGGGACGTCACAACAGGAGCGTTTCCCATTAAAGGTAGTTTGCACTGGGAGGAGACTTAGCTAGAGGGGCTTTTCCCATTAGAGGTACTTTGCACTAGCCTTAATCTGCCGGTAATGGATTTCGGTGCAGTATTTATACCAAATTAATGCTGACTCGACACACTTTAGTAAAATTGATGTACAGAGTGGTATTTACTTGAGTAGTTGACAATATGTATAAATAAAAAGAGTCTCAATAATCAATTCAACTTTGTATTCAAGATATGAATTTTGTCCCAATTCCCCTATGAGACTCAACACTGTGCGACGTTGCCGCTTGTACCAAAAAGTAATATAAATACTAAATAAATTGGCATAAAAAAGGCAACGGAATAACACCTTTATTATTTTCTCAAGACAATAACATGAGTACATTTAATTCAAATTTTTCCGGAGGTATAAATAGTCCCCCAATCGGATCTCCAGCGGGGGGGGACGGCTTTAAATGTAACAAATATGAGAACAAATCTAAGAAAACCACTGAAGATCGGAACACGGAACATGGAATATAAGAAACCTATTCGAAGCTGGGAAACTGGCAAACCTCACACGAGACATGGGCAGACTCAATTGACTCAAACTGGATATCCTATGTGTCGCGGAAACCTGGCAGCCTGGTGTGGGAAGTTGCAATGTGGATAACGGAGTATTCTTCTACTCTGGTAATAACGATAGCCAAACCAAGTGCTCTCAATATAATGCAGGTATACGCACTAACTGCAGACTCGTTGTACCATGATATGGATAAATTTTATGATGAAGTCAAGGAATTGCTAAAATTGACTAAAAAACATGACATCAACATAATTATGGGTAACTTCAATGCCAAAATAAGAAAGGGTAAATTTGAGGAGTTAGTTGGATCGTATGGTCTTGGAGAAAGGAACGAGAGGGGTGATCGACTCTTACAATTCTGCCAGGAGGAAAGCATGAAAGTGACAAATACATGGTATCAACTTCACCCTCGCCGACTCTATACCTGGAAGTCCCCAGTGGACCGTCCACATAATGTAGTGCGAAACCAAATAGATTTCATCTTGATCAACCAAAGATTCAGCTCATCTTGTGGCCAGTGTTGCCAGTCTATTACAATTGTAACAGATCTGTTACTTTTTAGAGGAGTTTATTACCTTTTTACCTTTTTAAAAATTCTATTACCTTTTTTTTATATGTTCCGTTATGCAGTTTCTGCTCGTATCATTAAAGATATCTATTTTTTATATCCTAAAAGAAGTTCTAAGTTCATTTTCTTAGTTTTAAGATGAGAATTGTAGGATTTGTAGGGTCTGTCAAAATCAAAATCCAAATATATCTTAAGTTTATGGCCGTTTGCACCAACCATATCCATATTAAGGGAGGTTTAACGATAACTATGGCTTAAAATGACATTTTTACATGTAAAAATGTCATTTTAAGCTATGCTCAATAATTTTTTTTACAAAATACGAGTTTTATTTTTTATAGAAGAATAACATTATTAAAAGTTAATCTCAAATATTATTTATTTATGATCAGAAAAAAAAAAAAAGTCCTATATATGTCGCCAGCTGTAAAAAAATCTAAGTATTACCATTTTTTAAAATCTATTACCATTTTCAAGACGAGCCTGTTACTCTTTATGAAAGAAACCTGGCAACACTGCTTGTGGCTCAACCATCAAGAGAGCCGTCACATATCCTGGGGCAGATGTGCCTTCTGACCATGTACTATTGGTGGGCATCTTGAAAATCTCTCTGTCAAGTCAAAGAGAGCCAACCACACAGCGACAGGTAGCATTAGAAAAAATGAGGGACCCAATAATGAAATCTGAGATGTGTATTGATGATGACACTAATACAAACAATAACATCGAATATTGGAGAAGAGCCAACACAAACCTGGACAAAGATAATGGACATTGCAATAAACTCAATGCAAAACAGATTAGGATATAAGGCAAAGAACAAAAAACAAAACTGGATGACGGATGAGATTGATGAGATTTTGTTGTTAATGGATGAACGTCGAAAGCACAACAACAAAACAGACAGCAACATGTATGTACAGGGCGGGCCAATTTTAAAAGGTTAAGTTAACCAGCTGACGGTTAGGTTGTTTACATTCGGAAATTGACTAAAATTTCGAAAAATCTTGGTCATCATATATCTAAAATTATTAATTCTGATAAATAGCAGCACGGTTGTTACCGTTTTAGTGTATTTTGCAAGTATTTTCTGCTTGAAATGTTTATTTCTGCAAGAAATCAAATAAATCAAATGTGAGGTTATATTATGGACGAGAAAATTTGCAAACATTGCAAAAAAGGCGTAAAAACCTCGCTTGACTGTGAAAACTGTTGCTCGGCGTTCCATCCCAGCTGTGCAAGACAAGCTAAGGCTACTTACCTCCAGGAAAATCAACAGGAAAGCGTTAACTGTTGTCGACCGAAAATGGCCAATAACTTAGATGAAAAGAAAATTAGAGCAATCTTCAAGGATATATTAACTGAGTTCCTAGGCCCCTTCAAGAAAGGGATCGAGAAGGACATGGCTGAGATCAAGAAATCTTCTCAAACGGTCGCTGAGTGTATCAAAGAACAAAAAAAGGCAATCCAGAGCTTAGCAACTGATGTGAAACAGCTACTTGAAGATAATACTTCATTGAATACAGAAGTAGAGGCTCTTAAGTTAAGAATGAGTACTTATGAGGCAAATGTGCAATCCCCAACCCAAGATATAGAGTATCTCACAAATGAGGTTAACGAGCGTGCTAGAATAGCCAATATTATAATTTCCAATATACCGCAGTGTAAGTCCGCAGTTCTTCAGGAACGAATTGAAAATGACAGTGAGCATGTCCAGAATCTTCTGTCATATTTGGGTTTAGCTGAAGAAAATCAAAAAATATGGAAGATGGTGCGTATTGGCAGATGATAAAATAAGGCCTCTAAAAGTTGTCTTTACCTGTCCAGAAGTTGTGTACAGCATTCTCAAAAATGGCAACAAGCCTGGTTCGACCAAGATCAGGACTTCTAAGGATTTGACAAAATTGCAACAGGAGACTCATAAGAAGATTAGGTATGAATACCAGGATCTTGTAAAAAAAGGCGAATCAGTCGCTCTGAAATACAGAAATGGGTTTCCTATTATTGAAATTAAAGCCCAAACAACAGGTACTGGACCTGATCCAAAAAACACCCCTGCACCCCATTAACTGTATTCTATATGAACATAGGAGGTCTTCGCACAAAGATTGAAGACCTCACTAATATGTTGAACTGTTCGGATTACGATATATTGGTAATAATAGAAAGTAATCTCTGTGATAGTATTACTGATGGTGAAATACAATGTGATAAATATAATAGCTTCCGTTTTGATAGATCTAGTGAAACCAGCATGAAAAGTAGGGGTGGGGGAGTCCTCATATATGCTAGAATTAGTTATTTTCCTAACAAGTGCGCAAAGTGCTACTTTTCCGCACGCAAACACAGTTATAGAGTGTTTGCATGCGGAAAAGACACTTTGCGCACGTGTTAGGAACAAAATTTTTCCTACGAGCTACATATCAGGTAGTTAACAACATACATTTAAAAAAAAAAAACGATATTTTGTTCAATTATTTTCAATTAACTGTAGCAAACCTATTCATTCATCAAAAAATTACATAACAAAAAAACAGGAAATTTAAATCCTGGTCAGAGCTGTTCATCTTAAAGCGTTTAAATTTGATGGGAAAGAAGTTTGTAGATTCTTGCATGTGAATGGAGTACACAAATCTGACAATGTGTCAAAGTTAATTATATTCAGTGTTTGTATAGATGTTGGCTGATATAGAAACAGAGGAAAAATTTGTCATCATGTGTCAAAGTCGACAGGTGCACTTATTGTTGCTTAACAATTATTTTTACTTTTCGGCACTCAGTGCGGATAAGGCCCGTATCCGCACTGAGTGCGGAAAAGTGTAACTTTGAGAACGGTACTGCGTGCGGAAAAGTACTATTTTGCGCACAAAAAAAAACGATAATGTTCAATTATTTTCAATTAACCTGAAGCGAACCTATTCATTCATCAAAAAA